GGCATTTGTATTTCCTTCAATTAACACTTTGCATGAAAACTGCATTACAGTTTAAAGACAAATATTGTATTTATTACTCTACTATACTGCTCAGTTACTTGGTATTAAATAATTATTCTGCAAATAAAAGCTTGCCATTAAGAACAAGGAACCAGCGTCATGCCTAACAGTGTTGGTCATAGTATATATATAATACATAAATATACATGCCTGAGAGATTCATTTTTATTTATACAGCGCCAAATCACAACAACAGTAAGGCAGACCCTATTTTTTCTTCTGAAATGTTTCCATAACTGCTCAGCATACCAGCAGTTTTCTACCTATAGATTTTTCTTTTAGAAAAGGGCAGGAATTCATAAGCATTTGCTTTCTCCTGTCAAAAAGGAAATTAAACATTTAGATTTTTTGTTTTTTCCCCATGTGATTATGATCCTTACATGGATTTGTGTTTATTTGTTCTTTAACACTTGTTACTTATACGTCTGAAATAAAAACTTGATTGATTTTTTTTTTCATCAACACCTTGCATGCATCAAAGGAATTTGGGTAAATGAATAAATCGTTTTGGGATTTCACAAATTAAGAGACATTTAAAAACACTTCCAATAGTAATGCAGCAATCACAAAAGCAAATCTGGACGGTATAAAGGAAATATCTCAAAATCAAATTCATCTTCGTGCCTCAGAAAGCAGCAGTGTAGCTGATGCAGGACCCGGGGGAGAGGCCCTAAACATGGCAGTTTTTCCTGACAAGCACTGCAGGGCCTGGGGAGGTTTCAGGCAGACAGGAGAGCTTGAAGCAGTCTGCAGAGGCCTCCGGGGGGAAGCCGACTGGATAAATAGTTCACTTAGACTCTCTTGCTCTCTAAGAGGTCACCAAGGAAATATGGAAGGAAAATGGAGAGGCTTTATCCCACTCTCACAGGACTGCTGAATGTTTGCATATTAGACTGCTCTATGAATACTGCACACATCTGCTCCGCAACTGAAAGGATACGGTCCATCTTACTCATTCGTTCAATCTAAGAAAGGTCTTAAAAGTGCCCCTTGAATATAACTTTAAACCAAATCCTGAATGAATCTGTTGGAGGTGGATACTGGTTGCTGGAGCAACACAGATCTATTAAATATAAATGGATATTTGATATCAGTGACCTGAGATATGGCTCTGAACACTGCAAACTGCTCTCCACATGCCTACAGACTGCCAGACAGCATCTCCACCACTCCAATGATTGCTCAGAATGCGCACTCATGAAAACGGATACTTCTTTGACTCCCAAATGAATTCACTTGTTAATCAAAGACATGATACCGGTGTAAAACATCCTGCATCATGAAGACTAAGTGTCACATTTCACAGCGATACAAGTAGCAGTATTAATGGCTATACTATATATATTAAGGGTACAAATAAGGATATTTGTATTTGTTTCTTTAAAATATTTTTTTATTAGTTATTGATATTTGCCAAATGGCCTCTCTGCTGGATCCAAAGTAATGTCATGAAATGTCTTGTTTGACATTATAAAAGAATATATGCAATTTTGCTGGTGAGATTTTCGCTTTGAATTTAAAGAAAACTGAAACTAAAATAAAGTGATATTTTTTAAGCCTTTTTGTGTTAAATTTGATGATTATGGCTACTCAAGATCTCACATAGTTGGAATATTCCATATGACTGATCAAAAAATGACTTAATAAACAGAAGCATCATATTTCTGAAAATGCACTCAGTATTTTACCAGGGCTCATTTACTGTAAGTTACTGCATCAGTGCAGCATGGCATGAGCTTGTGGGACTGCTGAGGTGTTACTGAACCTCAGGTTGCTTTCATAGCGGCCTTCAGCTCCTCTGTATTTTTTGAGCTGGGTGTTTCTCATCCTCCTCTTGACATTACCCCAAAGTTTAACCAGTAATAACACAGTCAGCAAACAACTTGATTATAGTTTTGGTTCTGTGAGCAGGTACTAATTCTTTATGGACAATAAAATCAGCATATCTATAAAGCTTCTCAGCATGGACTGCTCTAAAAAATCCCAGAGTAGATTTGATAAAATACAGAGGACCAACTATCACCAAGATCAGCAGATGACATGGCAACCAAAATCCTCACTAACTTCACACTGGACTTCAAACACCGCAGACTTCAGGACCTTGACTTCCAAATGAAGTGCAAAATTTTACTTTGCTCTGAAATTTGAGCTCTTTTTCTCTCTAGACCAGCTAAGACACCTCTCAGAATAAGACCGTGGCAGCTCCTTTCCTAAAGACATCTGTGTTTGACGGCTCTTGATGCTCTGACACCAGCCTCAGTACCCTGACTGTGAACCTCGAATTGACATTTGTTGACGATGCTCAGGAATCCCTGTTGCTTTGATAGTGATGCATGTTTATTAGCATATTTACCTTCCAGCCAAATGTTAAAAATGTTAAGCCAAATGTTTTTTCTTTGATTATTGCTTATTCAGACATTCAGAAGACATGTCAAGTCTCTTACTTGTGTTGCTATATTGTTAAATTTGAACTTTAGCATGGGTCTAAAATTAAAAGATCTTTTTCACCTATGTGTGACTCTAACAATGAGGTGCTGAATCCACAGACTGATTCTGCCATCAGAGTTAAGCCCTCAAGACAAACAGTGCCCTCCTGAGTTGGAAAGTGATCACTGCTCTGACTCTGTCCTCCGATTTCTTGCGCTTTAAAACGAGCATCTGTTAATCAGAGACACGATGTTTTTGACTGTGGAGGATCAACTGTTCAAACAAAACTGAAGAAATTTTAAACTAGGAATTACATACCAGTTAAAATAACTTATTCTGTGACATAATGGTTCTTTAGACTCAAATACTGTTAAGCTTATTTTAAATCTTAACTCTGTGTTTGTTTATCCTAAGCCTAGACCTTGTGTACTTTAATATTTTGTGTATCCAGGAGCGCTGCCAAAACAAAACCTCATCAGCCTGCAATTAATGACAGCGAAATCAGGGACAAACACGGACTGAGCAGCAGTCTGTGTACTGTATTTGCTTTGTGGCTTTTGTCTAAGGCTTTCATCACAGCGCAATACACAGAGCAAACCTGGGCGGCAGATGTCGGCTAAATCCGACCGTTCAAACACGCTTCTACACCTATTCATCTAAAATCAGGACATGAGCTTCTCCTCTGCTGAAGCAGGAGCAGGAAGTCAGTGATTGTGCTTGTATTATATTATACACGCACGTAAATGCTGAGGGGGGAGAGGCGATCAAAGCCTTTGAGGCCTTTGTGTTTGCACAGAAGAGCAATATGTTGTCATCAAGCAATCATGGAAAGGCATTTGTAATCCCTGTGCATCTGTGTACAGCAGGCACTTCCTTTTAATTACATTGAGAGAAGTCTGCTGCAGCCAGCGTGTGTCACAGGATTTATTTTTTCTATAGATACTGCCACATCACAATGGGTCCTACACTGTTGTTCTCTCCTTAAATCTATTTGAAAAGAAGTATAGCTGATGTTTTAGTACACTACAAATCATATGTATATGATCTCATTCCAATATAATTTACACTATAAACAATACCTGTAATGCATATAAAATGAACTTTAACCCCTGCCATGTTACCAAGGTCTGGAAAAACAAACAACTTGTCACCCTCAGATGAGAGGAAATGGGTTAGGAGGTTAGGTTACTGAGGAACAACTCAGGAAACACCAAGGCTCAAGCCTGCCATGAACTAAAAACTGCTCACACTGTCCACAGTGAAGCAGGTCTTACATTGCCATGGACTAAGAGGGGGCTGACCAAGAAAAAAGCCCCTGCTCCAAAACCGACTCCTTCAGGCTCAACTGAAATTTGCTGCTCCCCACATGGACAAACCATACGCCCTTTGAAGAAAGGTTTTCAGGTCAGGAGTAAAGCCGAGGCTTTCAAACCTGAAAACACTGCACCAAAGGTCAAGCATAAGTGGTGGTAGCATCACGGTCTGATGCTGTTATTCTGCTGGTGTTACTGGTACACTGCACAAAGTGGATGGAAAAATGAACCAGGAGGACTATACCTAAATTCTTCAATGTTACCTCAAATCAGCAGCTAGACAGCTGAAACTTGTCAGTTCCAACAGGACAATGATCCCAAACAGACATTAAAACTTGTTTTGGGATAAATCAAGCTAACATTAAGTTTCTGGAACAGCTTTCCCAAAGCCTCGACTTCAACCCTACTGAAACTTTTGGAACAAGGGGAATTTAACTAAATATTAGTGGAGGTGTATGTATGTATTTGGTACATTGTGTATACTTTTAACCCTGAGGATAAGAAAAAATCCCAAATAAATGTAAACGTACGTGTACTAAACTAGGTGTACTTCACAAGGTGAAGAAAAAAAAACCCCAAACTACAATGAAGGTTACTAAATTTGTGCTAATACACAAATTATATTTCCCTCTATGCAAATGACCTAATTTTAAGGTAGCAGAACTTTAAAATATAATCTACTAAAAATGTATTTTCACAAACTACACTGTTAGCATGCATATTCATTTCTATTTTAGTTGCAGACTATGCTAAAGTGGCATATCCCCACCTACACTGCAGGAAATTAGGTAAATATCTCAGTGGCAGGGCAGGTGTAAATAGATCATGAGCACAAGTTTTGACACCGAAGTTTCAGTTTTGTCATATTTAAATTCCTATTTTGGACTCTTTCTAAACAGTGACAACCTCTGTACAGTTTTTATGTGACTGGATCCTTCCAGACATGTCTGCACTTTCTGTGACCACACTGAACTGCTCTGGTTTAATCCTATTACATGTCAAGCACAAAAGAACCTAAGAGGTTTATGTTTCGCTTCCTTACAGAGTGAATCTCTCCCTCTTTCTCTGTCTCTGTCTCTCTTTCAAGACACCGGGAGAGCTATATATTTGATCATTTTGATTCTGTGCTGTCGCAGCATCTGTCAAAATAAAGGCCAACTGATAATAAGATTGTCTGTGAGGGCTGAAGAGAAACTGATGATGAATGAAGATCAGGTGAAAGAGATAATCCAAAGATGGGTAAGTCAACAATATTTCGCCATGGCAACACATTTTAGCTGAGGGTATCGTACTCAGGATCTCCTCTCCTGATGTTGCAATGAAGTATGACCTTCAAGTGTGGGTAAAAAATAACATAACGGCTGACAGATTAGCTGCTAGCATTAGAGTATAGAAGAACTGGTGCGTTGGGTGACGCTACCTTCATTATATCTCGTTTGATCCTCCTCACTCAGTAACATTACAAGACGAAGTCCATGTTAAATAAATATATTTGTTTCTTAGGGTTTACGCAGGATATCCTGACATCTACTCACACTATACTAGCACTATCTACTGCTTCTGAGAGGAAACTCATGACTAAGCACAATGGTGTTTATCAGCAATAGTAAAAGAAAACATTATGACGTGATATACTGTGTCCTGTATTTAGAGAAATACTCAAGAAGACGATCTGAAGCCTGAGGACTACCAGCAGTTCAAGACTTTGGGATCTGCCAGTCTCAGTGAGGGTGAAAGTCAACAGCTCTTAAAATTCATACAAGATGAGAAAAACCAGGTATTCCTCGTCGTTGCCAACACAGCAGATCAGGGCAGCTGTTTCCTCCGTAGCAGTTACACCTCACAGATATGAAGTGACAGCAGATTGGCAGCGTTAATCTGCCATACAGCTCTAAAAGCACGGCTACGCTGCAGAATCGTACCTACTGAAGCGAGCAGCCTCTTGCCTGCTACACAACTATGCTAAACATTAACATGCAGCTACCACTCTGTGCCTCCTAGCCTCTTGACCTGGAGGTGTGCTGGGAAAACAAGCAGATATTCAGTCAGATTTCTCGCTCCACTGATAACCCTCTTCAATACAGCGCTTCTCTAAGTGCCCTTGGTTGTCCCATCTCTCCACGCTCAGTGCAGTTATTTGTAGCCTACATTTAAAGCATGTGTCATCTCCCGCTCCTTCCTCTTTCTGAGGCTAAAACAATCTCAAGGGCTGCAAATGATTGATTATAAAATGAGAAATCCCTGGATTTTGACTTTCAAAACCATTGCAGAGGACATGCTTGAAAAAGAAGCCGGCGGAAAAAAACAAATAGGGATTGCAGCTCTGCAACAAATGATTTTGATAAGAATCTTTTTCCACAGATCATCTATATAGTCTAATCTCTTTTTAAAAATATTTTCAGAAGGTGAAACCTGCACCTTCTTCCACTCCTTTTTCGTGTGTGTGTGTGATCTGGTAGATCACACTTTAACCAGCAGTTGTGAAGATGAAACTGCACTTCTTTTGCATGCATCAGTTTATGCAGCGATGCATGCAAATGGAAAGGAAGGGACTATCAAATTCATATGCCAACACGGTCGCTTTTAAGGTTCCCGATGACGTGTACTGATTGCCTATTGTTGCACTTGCAGGTTATTGTGAAATCTATGGGCTGTGTTATATTGGCACCTCTTCTAAACGAAGTTGTAAAAAAAGCTAAAGGTCTGGATCAATACCAAGCTGCCATCACACATATGACCAGGGTAGGTGCAAGCAGTTCTTCTACATAGTGAAACATGCTCCCCGTGCATCAGCTGAAACGTTGCATCTGTTCGTTAAGACTTGCAGGCCAAACAAACTCCTGGATTGCATGCTTGAAATAATTGAAGGCATTGATCCAGGTGCCATTTCCGAGACAATCCTAGCCCTTCTTCCGCATCTTCAATCAGGTAACACAACTAATCATGCAACAGTACTACCAACCCAAAAATCATCAACCTGCAGACACAAATTGCAGCAACATCTTTTTTTTTTAAAATATTCATTTGATTATTTAGGCATAACAGTGAAATCGAATGCAAATCAACACAACAGTCTTGACCATAAATTCTACCTCTACCATAGAAATAAACACAGTTTTTAGAAATAGCTGCAGGTTCAGCCTGATTCACCATCATCCACTACAACGGCAATGTTAAACTACAATTAACAACTTTTTCTGACAACATTTTTACATTTGCAATAGTAAAAATGAATTTATGGTAGAATTGCTTTTATCGCGTTAAACTGCACAGCCATGACCAATAATCAAATGATCCCCGTTAGGCCTGTTAGCATTATCAATCGAACAGCTGGGTGGACGCGCTCAGGTCAGTGGAGTCACTAGTTTATTAGGTGAGTGGGGAGAGTTGTTATTGCTGTTGTCTAAGCTGACATAAATGCAGTGGATAAAATAAGAAAATTTTAACACGATCCAAAAACACCTCAAACTAATCGGCCAAAATAACAATACGTTTGAATCGACAGTTTCAGCACTTTTGACAAACACTGAACACCTTTACCGTCATAGCACCTTTTTTTTTTTTTGCAGGGTTCTTGTATTAGACAACATGTAGATCATGTACATCACATGTAGCCTGGTTTACTGAGTGCAGTTACTGCTTCTCCATGCATTGGTGGGTTATGGTGAACAAGTAAATGCTGCTTCTTTTTTTTTTTTAAAGGGCTCCCCCTGCTGTATGCTTACTGTAAACTAACAAACTGTGTTTTTAAACAGTACTTCTCCGGTTGGATGAGGGGAAGGCAGCCTGTGTGGGCTCGACTCTGTCGGCCCTGCAGAAGCAGCTGTCCCGGCTGCCTGTGCCTTACACGGAGCAGCAGGAGGAGGCTGATGAGTACGGCCTGTGCCGCTGCAGCGCTGCCTTGACTGTGTTCACAGAACCTTTTGTGGAGGAGGTGAAGCGGACAGACGGAAATTGTGCTGCTACAGCTGAAGATGAGGAGCTAAAGATTGAGCTTCTGAAGTTGTATGTTTCTCTCTGCAACTCTGTTTATTTGTAGTTATTATTATTAATGAGATTAAATACAAACGGCAAAGCAAAATGACTTAGAATTGAATAACTGATTACATTCTCTGTTTAGCTGCATGAGGAGTTTGAGAGAGCCTTTGCTTGAGGCTGAACTGAAGCACGACAGAAGATCACCATTGTGGCTCTTTGCAGTAGAGATAATGGTACGGGCAAAGTCTTCACTTCTATTTTTTTTTATTTATAACACAACATGTTTTAGTTATTTAGTCCCAAGTCACATGTGTGCATTGCAGGTCACACTTTCTGCAATCAAAGAGCCTCTTCCGGGGCTCTTATTCTTCAGCTCACTGAGGAAAAACATCCTGATGGACAATAATCAGTTCAAGGAGGCGAGAGCATGTCTGGCTTATCTGCTGTTTGTTCAGCTCATTACCATTGACAACTTTCCAGCAGTGTTCAGGTGACGTGAGCAGCCACATTTTTACTTACTTAAATTTACTTTCACTAAAAACTATTAATGTTGAACTTTTCCTGCCTTTCTAGCCATGTGTTTATTCTCCAGTGCAACATGGAATACATCAGTCAGCTGCTCAGCAGGTATGCTGTTAACACAACATTAAGTGAACATGTTTTCTGTTTTAGAACAAACCTACAATCAGAGTCATATCTGTGTTTCTCTGACAGCAAAAAGGAATCACATTTGCTCAAAGGATTGGTAAGAGCCCATCAGTATGAAAAACATCTGAAAGCAGAAGAGTGAGTTCATTTTAATTGCCCATAATTATCTATTATTAGGCGCTGTTCACAAAAAGCTTGGAGCGTGTGCAGGACAACAGCCTCCCAGTGAGTCTGCTGGATCTGAAGAGCTTCTACAGTGTGACACAAGTAAGACAAGCAGCCGTGCCAAACTCATTTCTATTTCTCAGGCTGCATACACACACAGGCCGGAGCAGCAGAATTACAGAAAAGCCTGAGAAGTCTTAAGTCTGTTTGCATATTCATTGAGATCACTGTCAGTGCATGCATGTCACTCTGTGACCTTCACCTCAAGGTCAAGGTCACTGAGATTCAAAACCTGTCCCGAGATTTTTCGTGGTTGCTTCTATGGTATGAATTTAAAAATCCCAAGTTGGCTCATTCTTGAGCTGTTATTTACAAGATTTTTAGAAACTTGACCTTTCCTTGAGTTTAAGGTCACTGAAAATCAAACTCATCGAATACTTTTAGTAGAAGCAATTTCCAAGCAAGCAAATTTCAAAATCCTCATTCTCGAGGCCAAGCTGCTTTAGGTAAAGAACTGACAGTGAACTGTCAATCTGCAGCCTACCTCAGTTTCATAGGGTTTTATGTTTCGTTGTTTAGCTGTCACACATAAACCATTTGTTGTTCGCACTCACTGCTCTCAGTGCTTTTATCCTCAGCAGGCAGCTGCTTTCAGTGAAAGCCGCTTAAGAAATCAAAACAAGCTAGTCAAGTAACTTAAGCAACCCAATTGGCAAAAACAGAGGGAGCTCCAAATGAAGCTGAAGAATGCTTGCTTGCACTCTAAACTGCAGGATGGATCCGTGTCTTTAACGTGATACAGCTCTCTGCTCCCCTCTAGTGGCCTAAAAATGTTATTCAAAACTACAAAATAAGCATCAGTGAGTAAGCTGTTTTTTGTTTTTTTTGAACGTGATGAGACTTTGAGACTCAGCCTGTGAAGTGGCTGTAAACTATAATATTATAGTTGTAACATTTACTGCGATTCACAGCTGTAGCTGACTTAAATTGTGCTTAAATTCTCAGAACCTGCGGCGAGTTCTTACCGACTGCCCAATACAGCACTTGGTGAGTGCTTCATTAGTGGTCAATATGGGGAAAATGTTTGACTTTTGCTACACTATAAAAGGCATACATCTGTTCGCTCTTCCGTCTGCTCATTGCTCCACCAGAGAGAATCGGGCCTGCAGGTTTTCCAGGTATTCATCAATAAATTAGATGCAGAAGCAAAGCACAAATTCTTCAGGTGAGAAAAACAGTTTCAATTGCAGTTGCAATTTTTTTCCAGGTGTGAAATTAACGCCCATTATACAGCTATATATAGACTACTTTAACACTTTATTAAAAACAAATGGCCCACAGCATATTCTTAACTTGTCCCTCTATTAATTTACTGCTGCTTCTCTCCATCTAGTGTTTCCAGTTGCACTCCAGCTGACAAATGTTTACAGTATTCTCTTAGTCTTCTAACACTTTAACATAACGCTTGCTGACCAGCTAAAATCTTTGTTTTTGTTTTTTGTTGTTGTAGGTGCATGTTAAAAACCAGCAATCACGCAGGTATAGAAAGTTATATAATCAAGAACATCAGGAATCAATTTGAACTTTCTATGAAGGTGAGAAAAACATGAGAGTCACGCCATAGCCTGCATTTTTTATCTCATTATTTTTTTCTCTACACGTTAAATGTACTACAACTCTTTTACAGTGGGGTAACGCCAATGAGTGGTTCTTGGGAACGGAGTTTATTTCACTGATGACACTGGTGCTGTGCTTGCCACAAGGTGCTCAGACAGATTTGCTCAGAAGTATGGACAAGTGAGTAACGAGAAAAGTTTGAAGTAGACACAAGCCTGCTCATTTATCCATACGATGTATTAAGGAGCATTATTACAGCAGACTGGAGGAGGTGGAACCTGGTTACCTGAAGCACAAAGTCAGTGGAGTGAGACGTAATTATAATTCTTGATTATGGCAAAATCGTAAACATGGATACTTTGGCATGTGCTGAGAGCATAATAGTAGCTTTATTATACTTTAAAAAGAAAAAAACTTTTTTTAATGAAGCAAATTCCAGTTAACTGTCATTATAATTATAACCTAGACTTTGGAACACCTGGAAATTGAAATAATTCCTAAAAAATTAATCTAAAAAAATCTGGTTTTAAAGCCAAATTATCACTGAAATTAAAATTGTCGTCACTGCACAGCCCTAGGCCAGAGTTATTATAATAACTAATTAATATAAAAGGAATATAGGCTCAAAGGCATCCTTAGAATATTTTGACCTTTGAAAGAAATACAGAAAACCGTATCTGCTACCAAAATAAATGGAGTTAATGGAACTAAATTAAAGCAATTTTCAACTTCAGATCTAATCAAGTTAAAAACTATCCTGCAGAGATTCAAAGACAAAAGTCTGTCAGTGTGTGAACTGGGAAGCTTCATCCAGATTGAGCCATTAAGTAACACTCTTTGTTTATCCAGGGTAATGGAGAGCCTAAATCTGCTACGCTATGTTCTTATCAGAGACGAAGAGCTGAGAACCAATGTAAGTAAGTCTAATACATAGCTTTCAGTTAATGCCTGGTTAGGGCAGGACGCTGATCATCTTTTCTGCCTTCCTTTAGAAAGATGTGTGGGAAGAGTTGTGCAGGATCAAAGAGGAATACCTAAAAATGCTGCGTGTATGTATCAGCATATCAAGAGCGTATTATTCCTCTGAACTGAAAGCACTGAGGGAGGACCAAAAGCTAAAAGCAAAAGGTAGGAATTAGCTACTAATCTGTGTGACAAAATTCCAGTGAAATAAGCTTTACACAAATAGTTTCAGAGTCTATTTTTATACTGTCAACACTTCCTATTGCCCACACCCAGAAGCCAGAGATGCTGCTCGACCCACTAAATTAGTCAAAAGCATCACAGTAAGGAAGGAGAAAGTGTCCAACATGTCCCCGGAGGTCCAGCATCAGGTCAGGAAAACTCTTCTAATTTAATAATTTTCATTTATGTTTTGGACTCTACGACTAGCAAGCTGACTTTTGTCATGTTTCTCAGGTGCTGCAGAGTGCTTTGGTGACATTTGACCTCATGGAGAGTCTTATAGTCCGAATCGAAGAGATCACAGAGGAAAAACGGAACAAACTAAACTGAGGCTCTGAATTCAGACCCTTCAATATTTTTCTAAATATATCTTTATTTGGTTTGCTTTGTTTGACTGAATAAAGTGTGTGCTTATATACAAGAATGTATACAAGATGATACTATATACTGAAATGTCTGCCTTTCTATTTTCAGCACATTGGGCTCGTGCTGGTTAGCACTAAATAAAACATGTCGAATCACCTGCCTGGTTTTGCAGCATGTCCTTTAACATTTCCCACACAGGACTGCTTTCAATGATGTGAGCCCGAGCCAGAGAAATCCGGTCCCGGATGCTGTCTACATGGGGTTTACTGGTGGCCTGCAGGAAGGTGTGGCTTAATTTAATTCAAGGTTTCACAAAGACACATCAGTTTATCTGTATACCAAATAGCTGTGCCTCCATTGTTACCTTGGCAATTGTTAACATCCCTTTAACAATTTCATCAGTGTTTTGCACAGGCAGGATCCTGAGATTGCTGCCAAAGAATCTGCAAGAGATAAAGACGTCCTTAGTACGATATAGTTATTCTGTTTTCAATATAGAACCTTTAAAAACATCCATCCATCCATCCATTCGCTTCCGCTTATCCTTTTCAGGGTCGCGGGGGGCGCTGGAGCCTATCCCAGCTGTCATAGGGCGAGAGGCGGGGTACACCCTGGACAGGTCGCCAGTCTGTCGCAGGGCCAACACACAGGGACAGACAACCATTCGCACTCACATTCATTCGCACATTCACACCTAGTGACAATTTGGATTATCCAATTAACCTATCCCCACAAGCTGCATGTCTTTGGACGGTGGGAGGAAGCCGGAGTACCCGGAGGGAACCCACGCAAACACGGGGAGAACATGCAAACTCCACACAGAAAGACCCTGGCCTGATGTTGGAATTGAACTCAGGACCTTCTTGCTGTGCGGCAACAGTGCTAACCACCGTGCCACCGTGCTGCCCCCTTTAAAAACAAAATCCACAAATTCTTTGACAGACAAGAAAAAAAGCAAAGTTAGGGGAGATAAAATACAAAAAAGATACCAATAGTAATAATGACAATTAAAAAAACAGTTACTCTGAAAATTTTTACAGAGTCATAAATATCTATGGTTGATTTTTCAGAGGCTATTTATTCTTCTGTAGCCTGCTTATTGGTTTGAATATGTAGATAGCCAACCGTATAATCAACATAGAAGTTACTGTAGGTGGACAAATTTCAGGCTGGCAATCAATAGACAAACTAAATAATAAAGAACCCGGGGCTGACCCATGAGGTACTCCGACATCATCATTATTATTATATCCTCAAGCTGCTGTCACAAAGCCTTGTAACCAGAGCGTTAAAATCAGTTAAGTAAAGCAAAAATGACACAACATGACTATTAATCTACCGGTTTTGAATCACAGTCAGCGTTTCCAGCTCCTTTTTTCCTTTAAATGGTGAATGAAGGAGTAAAAAGCAGTTGCGGTGGACTTGCAAAAATTTCTTGATCTTCTCAAAGACTCCCAATTCTTCAGAGGGCTCTGGGAGGTCTTGTGGGTCAACCATCAGGAATGCAGTACCTGCAATGAATAAAAAAATTAATTAATTAATTTTAAAAAAACACACACACACACACATATATATATATATATCTGTAAATATGGGCTTTAATTCTGCCACAATCAGGGATCAGGCCAAACAAGTTACACTCACACCCTCTCCTCTGGTGGTAAATTAATGTATATGTAGGAGTACTTTTGCTTAATCACTTGAAACATATTTTGATGCTAAAACATTCCCACTAGGCTACTTAAATAGGATTATGACTTAAGTAAAGAGTCAAAATCAGGGGTGTTAAACATAAGGCCCAGGGGCTTTTGGACAGCTTTAGAAAATGTGAAAGAGTGCAAAGATTTTGAACTTTTAACAGCATTTTCATAAGTTTTAGAGCTTTCCCAGTTGATATAAACCCCGAACCCCCACTGCCATCACACTAAACCAAAGTATGAGGTCATTTACTGTGAACAATGACAACTTTACATTACATGATTAAACTCCACTGAGTGTCTTATAGAAAACAGAATGATGTCTTATAGTGGTTTATAAAAAACACGGCAGGTGTACTGGGGGACTCGGGTTTACCCGATAGAGGAAAAATGAAGGCTCCGGGATGAACACTGTCTGAAAACCTGATGCGGTGCTGCTGAGCGTTTAGCATCCTAATGATTTCGTGGCTCTGTGGAAACAAAATGAAGATAAGTTAACTGCTAGCATCGTTAGCTGGTACAGTTCTTTATTCAAAGTCAGAGGTGGGCAAATAACTAATATTTCACGTATTTTGTCGGTGCTAGTGCCTTGGCTTCATGGCTAAAGCTCTTTATGTTAACTTATTTTTTTGTAACTGCCACCAGAAACCGACCAAGCAAAAACATTACTATTCAGGTAAAACTTTCTAACATTACCTGAAGCGATGTGCTGACAATAATCGTTGTTTTCCACTGAGGAGTCCCTTCTCCGCACGTCGCCATTGCCTGCTAGTTATTAACAAGTGAACGACACGGTTCCGATGACGACACTCTCAACCCGGTTACCGTTTTTGGTCCAAAGCTGTTCCTGCAGCGGATTCAGCCGTCTGTTATGTCGTGCCACCAGGACGCCACCAGAGGGCGCTGCGGTAAAACGTAACGTCCTGTTCATCGACAAAAGCGTTTATTTTTGTTTAATTTCCTTTTCTCCTTTAAATGGGGCATGAAATAAAAAAGTTCCTGTAATTATCTGCCATTCCAAATACCAGCTTTTTTAAAGCTGAAGTTAAAAAGTGTTAAGTTTAAATATGGACCAATTTGTAGACTTCAAAACTTAAAATATTAAAATTAGACAAATGCTGGTCGTATTTTGCTGTCATGCAATTAAAAGTAAAGTTTGGGACGTGCAAGTGCCAATGCATATTTATATTTCTAGCCGTGGTCTGAAAAAAAATGCACAAAGTAGTCAACTTGACCCAAAGTTATTAATCACACTGCTCATTTCTTTCAGAAACACAAACTTTTATTTTCAGTATGACACTAAATGCAAGCCATGAGGCTAATTTTATTCTTCTTTAAGAAATTCAGTTCTTATTATAATTAGAAGACTGTCAACAAAGGATATTTCTGAAAAGGAAATATAGTTCTGACCCTTATTCTTTTCTAGAGCTTCTGAAGCAACACCAATGAAACAGTCAAACATACAAAAATGTCAGCATGCATAACAAGCCTGTTTGTGTTGAGAAACAGCCCAACAAGGGCACTATGACGAATGCAAATAAACAGAATCCAGAGTTCCGTAGAGTCCAACAAAAGACACCAGTCATAAGAACAGAGACAAAATGATATTTTAAATTATAATAAAATAAGACAAAAATCAACGTAATGACATTCAGTTCAAACAGAAGGCGTCAACTATCCGGCAGGGCTCTCCTCTGAAGTCAGTGATGTGTTTCTAGCTCCACGATGGTCCACTCTCCCTGTGGAGAAGCAGCATCTTCTGGGGAGAAGCTGGTTACAGTAATGCTAGTGGAGGAGTCCTCCATGGGTGAGATAAGCTCCGCCCAACGTTTGAAGGTCTCCTTCTCTGGGGACAGGAAAGCCTGCGAGTCCAGACAGTCACGTGACAGAGACAGAGTCTGCTTGATAAGATACTGGGCCAGGTTGAGCTCCTCAGGTACGGGGTTTATGACACCCAAATTGGACGCGTGGTCTGTCAGGAGCTGCTTGAGCAGGCTCCAGTCCCGCTCGGCAAAATCGCTGCTTTTATCCCCATCCCCTGTTTGCTTTTCTTCCTCTGCTTGCCGTTTAACATTCCTGTCCTTGTCCGAAAAGTGCTCAATAGCTTCCCCCACATCCATCTCGTAAATGGGGGACAGGGCTTTGGATGGTCGGCGGTCATGTTTGCAGCTTTGATCCAATCTGTCACAACCAATGTCCCCTAAAAACAATTGACAATACTGCACAATGACAAACTGAATCATTCCTGCACAGGTCTTTTACTCATTTCAGAGACTAATCGCTGCAAACTAAAATAAAATTTAAAAAAAAAAAACAAAAAAAACAGAAAATTTACCCTTAATGCAACTGTTCCCTTTAAAACACACAACAAAAAAACAAACAAACAAACCCCACAAAACCCCGTAGTGATGTCAGGTGACGACAACACAGTGAGCGAGCAGTGATACTGATGATCACATATGATTATCACCACAAATTTCAAGTTCATCAGTTCAAAACTCACTCATCACTTTAGATATGCACGTCAAAAGGCAAACAGTTGCTTTGAAGGTAATGTACAGAGGTTTGCTTTGCAGGATGCATCTCTTTATCCACCTGTTCAAACAAAGTAAGCCATGCACTACCAGCACCAGTGAGCTTTGCATTTGCCAGAAAGTAACAGTGATATGTTTTGATATTCACGTGCAGGCAGACGTAAGAAACAGACTTAAATACTGTCACAGAAACCGAAATGCGAGCAACAATGCTTTTACTTAGTTGCACAAAAGATGGCATAACACCATGTTTCTTTAGACATTCTCTGTCTTCTCTACTTTTAACAAATTACAAAAATGGCAAAAGACTGATAATTACAAAATATCTCATGGTTGCATAGGGATAAACCCTTGGAAGTGGTGCAGCAGGACTTCTTTTTCAGGAATATGATAGTGAAAAAAGAGAGACATGGCAGGACTATGAAGACTGCTCTAGACACACGGTACGTACGTTACAGAGGAGGCTACTGACACTACACAAAACCTACTGAACAGAAGTGTATAGACAACAAAACACTTTCCTTAAAAGATGGACCTCTACGTGTCTAGACACAGGTCTACTGGGTATGATGGAAGATGATGGAAAAATCAAAATATAAAACATAAATAAAGGATGGCGCTGATAATGATAAAGCAATTTCAACAACGGCATGCATGTGTGCTGTGCAAACTTTAAAAAAAGGTAAACAAAAATCAGAAAGAGGTACAATCTTGAATACAAATAAAAAGAAACAGAAAAGCCAGGGAAACGTTTCCTAGCATAACAATCTTTTCTGAGCAGCAGTGGCAGTTTGGTGTCATCTACTTTGTACAAACAGTTTGTATATTTGGACTTTTAAGTCAGGTAGTCACTCTCCAAAGATTTGGAAGAAAAAGAAAAAAACCCTAACATGGAATTTACCTGATTACAATTTTAAAAAAGGTGC